TACTAGCATAAACTACCCGTGCATTACCTGCGCCATTGTCCAATAACGTTAATACTACTTGACCACTTGGTGTATCAATTGTTGCAATGACATGGGCACCAATGACGGGAGAATATCCCTTTTTCACTTCCGCTCTCACCACCAGCTGCGGGTCTACGTCATAATTCAATGTGGTTTTGCTCAATCTTCCTAAAACTCGGATAGGTTCGTCATCTTCATATTTCACACGGGATTCTAGTATTATCTTTACATTATCTGCGGTGCCATTACTGTTGTAAATAATATACTTCCACATGCCAGCCTGGAAAGTGTAACACAATATTTTATTAAAGCCATTTAGCGTTTAAATAATGAAAATACTTTCCAATAAAGTAAATTCATGATATGTACATTTTATTGTATACCACATTAGTGATTTTCCAATTTATTGTATTCGTTTCCCCGTTCGTAAAGATATACATACAGTCATGAAAAATGGCGATATAAAGTTCAAATTTACTTATTTTTCGATAATTGAAACTTCGTCTGTCCGTGATAACCAGATGCGTTGATGAGCAATACACAGGGAATACATATGTATTTATAATTATAGGTCGACTGTTAGAGGTTGTTGTACGATAGGTTCAAAGGTTTATATTTCAATGTACACGCAGTAAAAGTAAATATTAACATGCATGCATGGAAGCCTGCAAATCATTTGCATACATTAGTATACGAGTATATAAAGTTTCAATCTTCACACGTACAAAAACAAGTGTAGATTCAATGAGAAGTAAACGGACTGACTAAACAAATCAGTACATTAGCATTCTACTTGCACGAATGCGTTTAATATCTTTTGCCATTATTGTATATTAGTGTAATACTGCCTTTAGGAAATGTGTATTATTTTTCAGCCACTGGAAGTTAAACACATTTCCAAATTGTGCAAGGCTAGAAGATCAATTACCTTTGCTGTTCCTTGTATTTCAATAGCGACTCTACGTTGTTCTACATTGACGGCATATCCCTTGTAGTATTTATCAATCCATCCCCCAGTGGGGGACAGTAGAGCGACATCAAAGACAGTGTCCGAAAATAGGAATGAAAATATTGTTCGATTTCCTAAGCTTGAATCTAAGAATAGTATATCTTCGTAGGTCATCTCACTTCTTGTTAAAGATATCACACTTGATTCCAGCTAATGGACGGAATAGATACAACACATAATATTCAACAGTGTACTTATATAATGTACAATAATTTGCTTCCAAACTGTTTTATGACAATGTCTGCATACATGTGTTATCACAACATGTATAGTGTCGATATTTACAATGAAAGTGTATGGAAAGCCACAGCTATTATGTTATGTGGTGCATTCAACATGTCAAGTAGTGCATATATCATATTGTGTGGTGCATTTAACATGTTATGTTGTACATTCATCGTGTTATTTAGCGCATTTAACGTGTTATATGGTGCAACCATCATGTCATGTAGTGCATTTATAATATTATGTAGTGCATTATTCATTTCATTTACCATGTTATGTGGTATATTCACCATGTAATGTAGTGCATTTATCGTATTATGTTGTACATTTACTGTGTTATATAGTATATTTACCATGTCATGTTCTGCATTTATCATACTATGTGGTGCATTTATCATATTATATTCTTATTAGGAATCAACCAAATTTATGCTGTAAGATTTGCAAAAAACTGCAACTGTTCTGGCACAAGATACAAAAAAATGTCATAGCCTGTCATGTAATGCATGTATAATATATGGTACATTCATAATGTTATGTGATGCATTCAACATGGTAAATGCACCACATATTGTAAAATAGTCGTAGAATGAGGCAAAATATCATTACACAGTGAAAAACACATTGTAAACAGACACTTTTCAACACAGTTCAAACCAACTATTTTTTGTATTAATAAAATATATATTTTTTTCTTTTTTGTGATATTGCTGATATTTTAATGCGTTGTTAAATTCTGTACGATTCGATTCGATTCTCTATAGAGAAGGTATGTGTACATTTTTTATACCCAATAGTTATTGACGTTATAGCCGGCAATATCAACTCATCAGATATAAATTGTAACCACCAATTGAATTGTGCTAGAATAAATAAGTTATAGAAAGGAATTATAACATAATATTGTACGACTTAAGATAGCTCTGGTTTTCCCATAAAAGTTAACTTACCGTGATTGGTATGATATCTGAGTTTCCAAGTGGATTTTCACTGATCGTTGCTGCTAATGAATCAATGAACGCGGTTGAAGTATCATTATCTGGTACATAAAAGTACAAACCACCAGTATTATCTGACAATTCTTGGAGTGTACTCTGTGCTGCTTCTGTGTACGCAATCGTGTCTACACGGACACCCGAGTCGTATACCTCTTGCATTACATTCATTAATAAGGGATAAGTATTTTCTATCCCGTCAGTGATAAGTAACAACGATGCCCCCTCTGACGTCACATTGCCATCTTGTAATACCTAGTGAAATATATGCAGTGTTTGCAGATTATTATTGTAAAAGAAAACTTCGTAAGTAGGCGTTGTATATGGAAACTAGGGTAATTTTTAAGACCTATAATGTCGATAACTAACGCATAATTTCAATCTGACGTGCGTATTCTTGCCTGACCCAAACGGGTTTCATTAATAAATAAATAAATGAACTAAATACATTTTTTATGAATGTTGAACCATGGTGGTGAATACATTGATATAATTATTTATTTAGCATTGTCCAGGAAGAAAGAGAATAATATATTTGTAAAACTTACAGACAATAAAATTTATTTCAGAATTGGTAACGTAGTTTCAACCTGTGCTGTAAAGTCCTTTTCATACCGTTGACTGTCAAAAATGTTTCCGCTTAAAGCGGGGACGTCTTCACCTATGCATGCGTCAGATGGCCATAGCGTGTCATTGTGTACAAACAAGCGTCTACTCATGAGCCTTTGCGTTCTTAGCGTGTGTTGTTATCATTGCTTGGGACTCAATTCCCACGCGTGCGCAGGTGACGACTCTCCCGCTTTAATACCTGAGGAACTTAGTGTCAATATGTGTTACCTGAAGTGCAACTCTTAAACCATCTCCAATACTGGTTGCCCCACTAGCCACCTGTGGGACATTAGATGCAATTTCACCACGCTGGAATCCATATTTTATTTCCGTAATACCAGAATGAATAACTGCATAAGATGAGAAGCCTACAATTCCCACAAAACTACCATCTTCGATCCTGGTTTCAATGAAATATGTTGCCGATTGATGAAGTCTTTGAATTCGATCTCCCTAAATACCAGAATATATAAATTATGTCAATGTTATATACATTTTTAATAAATGTAATTTACACTAAATGTAAACCATTTGAAGTGTATCAATCATGGTTATTTTCGAATCACTTAGCGATGGTTGGTTTAACGCATCAATTATATAAATTTTACCCATAAATAATATAATTCAAGTTATTGGATTTGTTGCAGGATTTGTTTATATATGTATTGACTTGACGAACTGACCCATACAATTAAATTTTACATATAAAAATGCCCTGAGAATGGTCCAGGAGATTTTAGGTGTCAAAGTGACCGAATGTTGTGCATTCATTTATTGTATTGTGACTAAGTCACTAATGTGTGAATAGAATAGACTAAAATGATTGTTCAGGGTAAGTTGTTTATATGAGTAATTTATTGTATAAACGCCAATCAAAGCACTGTATATCGATTCGCGGCGTAAAGTGCATAAAAGATCAACTATTGTCTAACTGGGGTCCACTTTAGAGCCGAACGGGCAGGAAGGGGGTCGAAAGTACAAAAATATGGTTCTGAACGTTGATAAGCAAAGAAACTATCAACATATGCGAAGTTGCCACATATAATAAGCTGATACAGTAAAGTTACTGATTA